ACATAGGGCTACTAGAAGAAGTAAGAGTTATATCCTTATATCTGGTGGTTCCTAGGAAGTGTAGATAAGGCCACCTCTGCAGTTCTAGCTACAGATGATAAAATTAGCCAGAAAGGAATTTTGGTCATGAATTTTGGTCATAAATTGCTCCCTGCTCCACTCTATAGGCCACACTATTAAGGTTACAGTCAATATATTGCATAGGGACAGTCATGTACTGCTGCTGCCACTTGAACATGAGATTAACACCTCTGTTGGATTTTTACCCTCTCTTCCTTCTTCCTCCTCTTGCATCTTGTCACTTGCAGATTTCTAATGTATAATATCTGCCGTCTTTGATTTGGACATTATTTAAATATTAATACTTATCCTAAGATTTTTTGAGTCAATAATAAGATACTGTGGTACATTATCTTCCTCTTAGAGATAAGGAAACAAATTCATAGAGGTAACATGGACTCAAAGACTAGTTGTCCAATGACATTGTCCATGTTACTTAACCTCTTTCATCTTCAGTTGTTAATCCAATAATAAAGTAGTAGGCAATGTTTACTGAGGGCCAACTATGTGACAGGCACTCGGATAAGTGCTTGGACTTTACAATGATATGACGCTGGCATTATTACTACCAAGTTATAAATGAGAAAAATAAGGCTTGAAGAAATACAGATAATTATACAAAAACAAGGGACTAGCAAATCAAAGAACAGAAATGAAATGACTGAGACCTAGTGGATTCAATGAAATGACCCACTTTTTTTTTCTTTTTTCCTACTTATTTCCTCACCACTATACTAATGAGATGAAATGACCCATTTTAAATGCTTAACATAGTGTCCACACAACAAGAGTACACACTTCTTGCTACTTTTCACATTGGCCTTTTCACAGTTAGTGAGCAGCAGTGCCAGTAATTGAACAAAGCTGTCTGAATTCCACCCTATATCTAATCTCAAACTTCTGATTCTATGAAATTAAATTGATTTGTATATGGTTATTGCTGATGAAGGAAAAGTTAAAGAGGTCAATTCCCCCACTTAAAATTTCTTGGTCAAAGACCTGTAGTTGACAATATTCTAATGATTGCTACATATCTTTTATGAAATGAGTTTCATTTTATATTTGTAAGTGATTTATTGCAAATCATTTCGTACCAGCCGAATATGAAGATTTCACATAAATATTACCCAGTCTGAGAATTGTTCCCATTGTGTTTCCTTTCTAAATGCCCTCAAGAATGATTTTCTTTGGACATTAATATCATTGTTAGATGTGAATTTTCAGTTAACAGCCTAGAAATTGTCTATTATGCCCCTACTGTGTGAATGACATAGGGAGTATAAAAATCAATACCTTGCATTTCTTGGAAGATACATGTGAGTAAACCAGTCATTACCATTCAAAGTGATAGGAGCAAGATCAAGGTCTTAACAGAGTTTTGTAGAAGAGAAAAGGGACACCTACCCTAGATCAAAAGGTTAGAAGTGGCTTTGGGAAAAAAGAGTCTTCATCACTCTTAAAAGAATATTACATAGATTTTAAAGTTGAACAAACTATAATGATACACATTCCTTATCAATCATTAAAATGCAGCATTACCTGATGTGAAAAATATGACATAGTCTTTACATTCTTATTCTCTCTCTCTTTTTTCTTTTTCTCCCTAACTAGATTGAAAAAACTCACTTTGTTTTCAACCTAAAACTGTCAGAATGCCATTAAACAGCAATACATTAGACAATCAAAATGTTATTATTTCCTTCTCTCTTTAAAAATATTAAAGAAAGAAATTACTTAACTATAAACTAGTGGGGAAAAATATTGGCAAAAGATGCTTTTGACTGTAGTTTGTTCCAATGATTATAAATATGTCAAACTGTTCTAAAATCATCAATATGTATTACAGAAAATAGTACAAGAGAATGACCTTCTTATCTCAATATCAAAATAATTTTTAGCAATGATAAAAAACAAAGAGCAAAGAACCATTGTTATGAATAGGCAGTGAGACATTATTTTACATGGTTTGACTCTCTTGAATCATAATTTAATATATGACTTTGGCATACCTTGGGCACTATGGGAAGCCACAGTAAGTGTTTCACAGCAAATGAAGTGCGCAAAGAACCATTGTTATGAATAGGCAGTGAGACATTATTTTACATGGTTTGACTCTCTTGATTCATAATTTAATATGTGACTTTGGCACTATGGGAAGCCACAGTAAGTGTTTCACAGCAAATGAAGTGTGAGAAAAATAATTTCTAGAAATCCTGGTATTTATTTATTTATTTTAGATCTTATCTTGAATCAATCATACTTTACATGAAATATAACTTAATAGAATGTAACAGGTTTTAGTGTGTGTACAAGATGAGAATTTTCTGGTCATTCAGATATTAAAATTAAACTTATAGATATAAATAGGTATTTATTAACTGTTAAAATTTTAAAGTTTATTTTAATAAGTCTTTATAAAAACATATAGTAATTTCATTTGTGAATATAAATGTAAAACTCCTATACAATTTTTTACTTAGTATTATTCACCATTAGTGATGCTGAGTTTATACTAAGAATGCAAGCATAGATTCCAATTAACCTGTTAACCTATTACATAATTTCTCAATTCAGTAGGTCAAACAATTAAATGAGAACATTTAATAAAATTGACAATATATTTTCAAAAAGTTTACGTAAATTTATCTTGGTTGTTTTGGAATAGAGATGATGTCTTTGTTAAAATAATAAAAATTATCGACCTGAAATCAATAATCAACATCATTAAAAAAGTTCTAACATTAAAGAACTTTCACAGAAGTCAGAAAAAAGACAAATATGCCTACCGTCACCACTATACCTACCATATAAATTAACCATTATACTGAAAATTCTAGCTAATAAAATAGAGGAAAATAAAATAAATATGTGTTAAAAATTAGAAACTAAATCTTCATTGTTTTACAGGCAAAAGGGAATTTAAGTATATGATAAGATCTTTAAAATCAATAAGGAAAAGTGAATATGCAAAAGAAAAATGAGTACTTTTCTCGAAAAGGACTATAATATTACTAAGAACTAGAGGAGAAATATTTGGCTTTACTAGTAAATGAAGGCATACATACTAAAACAGCAATTAATATTTTCTTTCTAGAATCAAAATAGCAAAGAGATAATTATTAGTTATAGTTTTAATATGAGTAGAACACAAGAAAATGGACAATCTCAGGTATTGCTGGTGGGAGTATAAATGAGTTCAATTTTTCTGGAAGGAATTTGGCCTTATTTAACAAAATATTTTAAAATGTTTATATTACTTCATCATATGATTTCATCTCTTATAATTCTCTTAATACTCAGAATCATCCATAACACCTCCCCCCCAAAAAATTGGAAAAAACTAAATGTATAATTGCATAATGGTTGAATGTTTATAAATAATATGAGAAATAATTCAGTTAAATACACAGTATTTAAGGATATAGTACAATGTAATAATATGGATTACACACACACACACATTCCCAATTTTGAAAAAGAAAGATGTACACATATACAAGTTTTGGAAGACATTATCTCATGTTAATATTTTGACTTATCATTTGGAAGTCAAATTATTAGTGATTTTTATTTTCTACTTTATTTTATAAAAGGGTAGTTTTATTAAGTATATTATTATGCTAAACTCAGTTCAGGTGAGATGTTACTTAAACCTACAAAATCTTTTTTGCTTTGTCCATAAATCGTTTTTATATTAGAAAATTAAAATCACTAATTTAAAAAATATTTCCAGCTTTAGTTGATTTGCTCCAGTACAGAATAGGCCTGTTATGTGATTTAATTCTGATATGAATGAATTTCAGTTACTGTAGTTTAGTAACTATTTACCAGTAGTTTAGACTATTACCCGTCTTCCAACAACATGGTTCAGGTATCGATTATCATGGTATATGACTGTGAGTAGTTACATAAACAAACTTTGCTGCTGGGTCTTTAGTCAGCAAATTACTATGTAAGTAACAGATGCACATCATGATCAGAGACCAGTCATGTCTCTTCTTTCAAAGTCTGTCCGTGTTTGGTCACATCCATGATTTGGTTTATTAACCAACAGAGAAGCTGTGATTGTGCTACCTCCTTGTCAGTGATAAACCATGTGACACTTTACAAACACGGACATTCGAAAAAGGGGAATTGGGTAACAATGATGAAAGTGCTGCAGAGAAAGAAAATACTGCAAATGAAATTCAAATGGAACGTAAGTGGAATTATAGAAGAAATAGTGAATCACTGCCGCAGTTTGAGACTCTAGATATGCAGCCGGAGTAACTTAACGAAGGGGAATTTAAATAAGGAATAGGGTGAAGATGTCCCAGAAGAAGTGACACCAACAAAAACCTCACGTTAGAGAAATTATCAGAGATGTTTCTCACAACATGAAAAGTACGAAGGTTAAAATGTTGGAAGCTGGTCCAAACTTAGAAAGAAGGATGACAATTTGCCAAGGCATAGAAGAGATGCTTGTTCAGTATATGATAAATGATCAGACCAGATGAAGGCAAGTGTTGGTCAAAGGACTCTTGAATACTTTTTACAAAGTTATAAAACAATGTACTGCTCCATGTTTGTAATGTTTTAAATTACAGAATATTAAGTGGTAAATTAGTTTTACTATTTTTTATTTCCCTTTACCTTTATAACCAAGAGTGGGGAGTTTTTAATGTTTTGACAAGCTTTTAAAGTACTGGAACAATCACAACTTCTCCCATTGATTATTAAAAGGGCTTTGCATGGTTTCATCTTGCATGGTCACTGTTACAGGTCTGCCTTACCATGCCTATAATATGCTTTTTTTTCTGATTTAGAAAACATTTTTCAAAATAAAACGGTAGCTGGCTTTTTACCCTTACATCTAGTGAAAGTGACTGATGTATAAATAAAAAGAAAACAATAACAGCTTTATGTTTCTTTTTTGTTCTGATCTTACTTTATTGTTCTAGTGTGATCGCTGCTTGCCTCTTTATAATGACAAGCCTTTCCGCCAAGGTGATCAAGTTCACGCATTCAATTGTAAACCTTGTCACTGCAACAGTCATTCCAGAAGCTGCCACTACAACATCTCCCTAGACCCATTTCCTTTTGAGCACCAGCGCGGGGGAGGAGGAGTGTGTGATGACTGTGAGCATAACACTACAGGTAACTAGCAAGTAATAAATCACTGACTTGTAATTTGATGCCTGTGTTTTATCTACAATGCATATTATTTTAAATTATGTTATTGCTGTCTTAGTTAAGAATGTGCTTTCATACTGTTAAATTTGAAAACCATACCTGGTTCATCAAATCTCATTAATTCCAAATCATTAGGTCATTTTCAGATACTCAGATAACTCAGGAATGCTTAGTTTGAGTTATACTCAATACACTTTATGTTTCCTTGTTCACCTTTATCTTCCA